GTAGCCCAGGCTGGCCTCGAACTCACAGAGATCCGCCTGGCTCTGCCTCCCGAGTGCTGGGATTAAAGGCGTGCGCCACCAACGCCCGGCCAAGGACATAATATTTTAAATGCAAGATGACTCCAATTTTCTGACATTATATATTTGTTTCATTTAAGAGAGTAAAAATAAATGTCATCAGATATTAATAGTGATTTTCTCCTGATAGTAATTTAAATTTTTCTCATAAGTTTTATGTGTAAAATAAGATGGGATATTTTTCTAATGAGAAAATAAAATTAATTTTCACATTGAGGTATTTTTGCTCAACTCAAGTCAATTACATTTAAATTAAAAATCTTTTATATTGATATGCAAAAAATGAAAAAAGCTAAAGCTCATGTGATATCAAAACTTGGTGTTGGCAACTTCTAGAAAAGCATCTGAGTAATGTGAAATGGTGTTTTCTATTGTCATACTTGGGGACCCAGGCATACCATTTCTTGCAGTGTGCATAGTCATGAAATGCTGCAGGTCATTTTGAAATGCTGAGATCCATAGATTTCTTTACACACTTTATGCAATGTTTGCGTTTACACCTTTAGCCCCCATCTAAAAAATTACACACTTTATCTCAAAAGTGTTACTGCATTGCTTACAATTTAAGTCTTTACAGATCTTATGAAACTCACTTATGAACCTGCTGTCTCCTTCAAAGAGAAAGAAAAATTAGTGTGTTTTATAATATCACCTCTAGGTTATTTAACAGGAGGAGTAAGTGAATGGCAAAAAAATTTGAATTTCAAAGGATAATATTATGTCTAAATAAATTATAAACTGCAATGTGCATAGCCTCTAAATGCAATGTTTACAAAGAAAACACATTGCCATGGGAAAATATGACATTGTTTAAATTATAATATAAAACAAGATAATAATGTAATATACAAATATATGTAGGCAAAAAGCATGCAAAGACACCTCATTTTATGGTTGTAATATAGCTGAATTGATGACTTAATTTTTTATTCTTCAGTGACATTATTTTCAGAAAAACAATGTAAAATAAATTCAAAACAAACACACCATTCTTCAAATCACCCTGAGTGGAAATGTTTAGGGCACTGGGTACCTGTCTTTTATTTTTGGCAAACAAAGGATTCCCAGTGGTGCTTATTCTTTTTGTATTTTCAAAGTGAAATCCATTGAACATCTTTCCCCCAATTAATCAAAAGAATGTCACAATATTTCTCAGTCTATAGAATGGTTTTTCAGCTACTAAAGACCACAAGTTCTGTTTGTGCCACGTAACTTAGTTTTAAAGATATGTCTGTTTCTTTGCATATTTAATTCAGTAGCTTCTTGTATGTTTAGCTTAAAACATGAAGAATTCAGTGGAAGTTATCAGTGAGAAAATAAGGTTGAAGTAAAAGATAATATGGAAACTTAGATTTGTGTAAAGAAGTAAGTGCAGGTTTCATTCATTCTGTGCCACATTGGAAGAGATATTGAAATTGGACATTTTAGTACAACTATATGTTCAATGGGTATAATAATACTGTGTAAATAATTCTATAAAAATGAAGTACTGTATAGAATGATGTCTAGTTTGCTTTAAAGAAATGTTTTAAAAAATCCACTTTGTTATAAGAACAAATACATATATTTACTTGATATTTCCTTCTGTTCATCACTTTTGAGTTTTAGGAAATAAACATTTTACATCAAGCCTTTATGGGCATGATTTGTTAGTGATTCTTTGTAACTTGCTATTTAAGGAAAAGTCATTTGGTTTTGCAAACTTTTCTTCCTTTTATTCGAATGGCTGATTCCTGACTTCCTCTCCTTGAACATGTGAAGAATTAACATAAGGAACAATTCCAAGGTTGGAAAGTCATTTAACAATATGAGGAAAACTAACAAGCCTAGGCTATAGTGAAAAACCTTCTTGTCATTTACATTTGAAAGGTTCCTAGCTTATCTCTCATTAACATATTAAAAATGAGGAAAATAGCACTGGCCTCTTCTTTTACTTGAAAATCCCCCATTTAAGGAAGCAAAGCTAGAAGAGGCACATACAGAAAAAACTCAACCTAAGAGAATCTGAAGTCCTTGATGCAACAAAGGCTCCCAAGGAGCTTACATGGCTTGGTGATGGCCAGGCTTTCCCGCCAGATAAAAATATATCTAATGAAGTCACAATGCAAATTGATTATGAAATTTTTGTGATTTCATATGAAATTTTAAAATGATTTTAATATTCAGCAGGATAGTTGCCACTCATAAAAAGTGAGGTGAAGGCCGGGCGGTGATGGCGCACGCCTTTAATCCCAGCACTCGTGAGGCAGAGCCAGGCAGATCTCTGTGAGTTCGAAGCCAGCCTGGGCTACCAAGTGAGTTCCAGGAAAGGCGCAAAGCTACACAGAGAAACCCTGTCTCGAAAAACCACAAAGAAAAAAAAAAGTGAGGTGAAATGGAGATAAACTTTACCCAATGGTGAGAGATGTATGTCTGGTCTATTTTCCCCAGAGTACTTGATGCCAATTATACTTGTTGCTTTTGAAATATAAGATAGAGGAGATCAGCACTCAGGAGGCAGAGCCAGGTGGATCTCTGGGAGTTCAAGGCCAGCCTGGTCTACAGAGGGAGATCCAGGAAAGGTGCAAAGCTACACAGAGAAACCCTGTCTCGAAAAACCAAAAAAAAAAAAAAAAAAAAAAAAAGAGGAGATGAATGAACACTATTCAGTGAAAAAGATTATCACAGAAAAAAGGAACTGTTTTTGAATAAATGTTTAAAATGACAAATGAACATTTTCATACTTTTCTGTTCATTATTTCACTCTCTTGACCATAGTTTAAAGAATGCATTTGCTTAACTTCACATGCATGATTACATATTTGTGAAAACCATAATCAAAGGCATTTCCTTCTAATTCTCATATGCAATGGCCACAGGTGAAGATGTAGCAATTTTTAGGATGAGAATTTATGTTTTCCTATTTGTTTCTGTCTAAACAAATGCATCTGTCCTTCAGTTTTTTGTTGACAGAGACCGCTCAATGGCACGTAGTGATCCTTGTGATAAAAGTCAGAGTAAACAATACACACTCTTGGTGCATGCAAATCTTAAAAAGAGATACTGAATCCAAGGCTTTCATGGGGTTCATATTTAACAAAGCTTAGTGCTCTGTGTGCATGTAGTTTTTAAAGCCCTTCAATTTGTTTACTGTAAAAAACATACCATCAGTGTAGAGTACATTGCAGTTCTCTTCGTGGTTCACCAGACCTCTAAATATATCAAAATCAAGTCCAAAAAATGTGAGATTCCTCATAGTTTGATTTTGCAAACTACTGCATAGAATCTTTATAACTTGAAATCACAACACAACTGAAATTTAATGTCTTTGATTCAAATATTTTAACATTTCACATTGTTTTATTGAATACTAAAAAAAATCAGACTTTATGAGCTCTTGACCAAAACAAATTATAAACAGAAAAATCAGTGCTAGTCTGGATGGTATTGAAGAAGCATATTGGTATTGATTTGTCAAAACAGCAATCATAGACAAAAGCCAATAAGTACATTCTACTTTTTGGTACCCTCAAAGTTAGAATTATTTTGAACTTCAATGTCTAAGTTTCAACAGAGAATTTACTTAATTTTAGAGGGTTTATGTTAAAAAGTTTGACTTGTACCAGGGGTAGTAGCAAACCCCTATAATCAAATTCAGTAAGCTGAGGGAGAAAATTGTGTGTTCACTGATAGCCTGAGCCGCATGGCAGGGCCCTTTCTCAAGACAAAGGAATGTGAGATGCAAATACTTGAGAGCACCTATCTATATATCTATATATCTATATATCTTTTACTTTTTATAGCAAATGAGTCTGACTACTACTTCTATAACTAAAGGACATAGTCAAAGTCTCATGCCTGCTATGGAGAGGCGTTGCTCTGTTTTTGATAAGCTCTCACATTTCCTTAAGGACAATCATGAAGCAAAGTTTGACCCTTGAATCTCAAGCTTTAGAATCAGGTATTTCTTGGCTATCTTTTCTTCATCACCTGATCTTGGTAAATTTACCTTAAACAATCCAGTTACTCCATGGCATGTGCTGTTACAAATGCCAATCTTATTCAGAGATATATACATAGGTTCCAACTTTTGTAAGATTTTCTGAGATGGATATTTAGGCATGAACTACTTACAGAATAATGTTGAATGGGTATATAAGTTGACCGGTCAAAATATGAATTAGATTGACTAGATAACAAGGTGGTTGACTGGAAAGAAAAAAAATCAAAAATGAAATAGACCATATACCTTATGTAACAGATGAGGTCAAGTAACTGCTCTTATCTGTAAGTTAGAAGCTTTCACAAAGATGTATGTCTAACTTATTTCCAACAATACAAGATTGTTTCTTTTCACACAGTTCTTTCATTGGCAACAATACACGTGCAATCAATACAGGTATTTATAACAAACAACCGTCAAAGGACAAGAAACCTGCTTTCTGTTTTACCAAGTCCCTGTGAGTATTCTGTTACTGATTTCACTGAGATGTCTGACAATAGTGCTACACATCCTTGCCACAGCCACACATTATGCCCTAGTAGACTTCAGTTATACCATAGGTCAAAAACATTGTTAGAAGTATTTTTAAAAAGACCACATTTGTGATAATTATACACTGTAGAGACAGTAATCATTCATACCCATCATTTAATTGTCATTTTCAAAAGGGAGTATAATATACTTTAGTGTTGGGTTTTTGAATTTTTTTTTAATTCAAGAATATTTCAGTTTGGTTAAGAAAGAGAAGAAACTGAAAACATCTGTCTGACAAAATGTTGCCATTTGGCTGGCCATGAAGGTTTCATGGCATTCCATGAGGTAATCACTTGGTATTTGTCAAATGAAGCAAAGATAAGGATACTCAAATAATCACTCCAATTTAATGTTCATATATATCTATATTGTGAGTGTATTCACAGTAGGAAACAAATGAGTAGATGTTAGAGAGGGAATGTCTTCCTTCACCCTCAGTATTTCTTTAAAAGGGAAAGAATGAAAAAAGGAAGAGATAAAGCTTATTTGAAAGCTTCATTTCCCAGGGCAAATTGAGTGTTTACAAAAGTGAGAATTGCCTAGAAACCTTGGATTGGTCTTGCTTGGAATGAGGACTAAATTTCTGAAGACAAGATACAAACAGCATAGACATGCTATCCATTGAAAACACTGTAGTGATGCTATACAATTGAATAATAATAAAAAGTATTCTTTTTATATATATAAAATGTTTCCCAGATACCAAAAGATCAAATAAAAATCCCTCCCCACCTGCTGTGTTCCTAGATATACTATATACTCAATTGAGAAAAGTATCTTAGCACTTAATCTCAGGTTCACAGGGCTGGAATCAGAGCTCACCCCACACCCTCACACTCACATTAGCACTCATGATTTCCTATAGCACCATATGGCAAGATAGAGGTTTAGTGATGGCTGCAAGTGTTGAATGTATTCTGGTGGAGACCTGGCTGCTGGCAGGCTCAGCACTGGGCACCAGGGCCCTTCTATACTGTAGTTCTTATTCATCTCACAACTGAGGGGTGTTCTGAAGTCTGTATGGCCCTCTACTCTTTTTGGTCTCTGTGTTATCTAACTACTTCATGAAGTCCTGAGAGCAGTACTGTTCCGTCTCTTCTCTTGACACTTAAAAAGTGATGTGTGATGAATTAACCTTAATTTATAGCAAGGTAGCTACTAGGGTAGAGTCTGAAAGAAAGTATTTAAAATACATAGAAAGAAAAAAACTCAGATGCTAACTTTCCTACATCATTTCTACTCTACCTTAGTAACGTAAGCTTGGTCATATTTTGAACAACAGCATCGCACAATAGCTACCAGTAATTTAAAACAACAGTGTTTTATATGAAAAAAGACATACCAGGAAATGACTAAAATAAAAAAGTGAGTTATATTCAGTCTCCATGTAGAGATGAATGTGTAGCTTATTTCATTAAATATCCAAATATTGGTTCCCATAATAAAGACAAGAGAAATGAAGCAAATTCAAAGGCATGATGTATAAGTTATCATGTCCTTGTAAGTACATGAGTTTGAAGAACAAAGCAATGATGGCTCCAGGGAACTACCAGGTCAGGTTAATGTAGAAAGCCTCAGTGCTATCTGCACTTGGCACTTGGCAGCTGGTGATCTAAGATGTGCCCTTTGAGCTTAGACACTTTGTAGGAGTTCTTCCTGTTTCTAAAGGAGACAAGGACCACAGAAACTGCCACAAGTAGCTCTTTCTATGGAGGATTTTGTTTTGAGTGTTCAAAAAAGTAGCAATGACTAAACTTTCCATAACATGGCCAGTAGATGTGCCTGATACTCATTGTTCTCCGAATGTGGGGGAAAGGTTTGTGGTATAATCATATGGTATGCAATCCATCCTTTATTTAAATATAATATTGTATTGAGACTTGTTTCATTGATCTTACGTTTTTGGTATAAAGGATACATTTAAATAACCTCAGTTGCTCAGAATATCTGCCCACCTAGGCAGATGAATGGATCCTTTAGATAAACAATAGGTAACATTTTAAGGAAAAAAACAAAACAATCCAACAAATGAAAAAACCAAAACAAACGATGTTGACCTCAATAGACCAGCATGGCCTCACAGTTGTTGATACTTGGAGTAAAAAACAACATAATGCTCCAGCAGATGCTCAACTTTCAGGGTTCAATAGAACTACAAACACCTTCTATAATTTTCTTAAATAGAAAATATTTTTAAGTGAAAATTAAGTTGAGCGAGAAGACATTAAAAATCCATATTTTTTGAAAGCACTAACAATGTTACTTCTCTATTGAAAACAACCAAAGTATAATGGCAACTAATTATGACACAAAACTTTTGACAGATAAAAGGTAGGTTTCCATCAATGTATTTTCAACATAGGAGACCTCAGATTCCTGTTAAGCAGCTTTGATTAGATTTTTGATGCTCTTCCTCTTCCCTGGGTGGTATTCTATCTATTATCAATGAACATTCACAGATAACAACTTGCAATGTATTTAACAGAAATAACTTACCTCAAGTAAGAATTGTATGTTTACTCTGCATGAAATCAAGCTTTGAAATTTTAACCAAGCTTTCCCCAAACTACAGTAAAAGAAATCTTTTATGTACTTTCAAATACTGTGCCTTTTTATTTAAACAGTGTAAACATAACAACACCACCAATAATCAGATAAAGACTGGGTATGGGAACACTAGTTTCCTTGAATGCCCCATGAAAATGAGGGAAAATAAAACAGACACATCTTCAGGAGGTTTTCAGTTCACCTTAGCAGTGGTAAAAATATTGCTTTATTCCAAATGAACATACAACACAATTTACTATTTGGGGGCATTGCTTGTGAACTGAATAGTCTGGGATTTGTGATTTTCAACAATTTATCCCTTCCATGTTAACCAGAGAAGCCAGTGCCTCTGTCTACACAGAGCAAACTTACTGTAAAATAGCAATGAGGCTGACAAGAAATAAAATGGTCAACTGTTAATTTGATAATTGGCTTATGCCAGTAATTTAAGTAAATGATTCAAAATAAACACATCCTCCATTAATTTGTTTTGTGATACTGATATCAATAAGCCAAAGACTGTCCTTTTCAGTAATATTCACATCAGAAAATGGTGTAGACATTGTCAAGAGTTTTTATAAGACCCCCACCATGCAAGTTACCTTGGTTCAAGAACTCGCTAACCCAAATTATAGTTAATGGAAAAATTTAAAGTGAAAAGATCTAAGAGGGAAAATTTCTTTTGAATATTAAATTCCCTGATGTTTCAGAACAAATTTTAGCAAGCTTTAATATGCACACACATGCACACACACACGTACAAGGAACACATGTGCATACAGCATATGTGCTTGGGTGAGCAAGCCCACACACTCGCACGCTCACACCTGTGCACCCAGGTACACACACACACACACACACAAACACACACACACACACACACACACACAAGCACACACACTGAGAGGTGCCCTTTCAGAGCTTCTAAACACTCTTGAAGAAAAACATTTCTATTAGCATGATTTTAGTGGCACAACGTTGTCTTTTTGTCTCTTTTCCTATAGAATTCTCATGCCTCCCTCTGAGGTTCTGTGCTTCCAAATGACAGAGAAAGATGGCACATGAGAGTGGCTAAGGTTGCCCAGGTTACTCCTGTTTCCATCTACCTTCCTGTTCATGTTCTCCTGCCATTCTTTAAAAATCAAATACAAAGCACTACATTCCTTGACATGACATAAACTGTGGTGAGAGCATTGATGAGTAGAAATTTAGGGGTTGGAACTCAAGAGCCAAATGGCCAGGGCTACCTGCTCACTGGCACATCCACTCTTGGGGTATAGCTCATCTCTTTGAAGCTAGTTGAACACTAGTTTCTTTTCCATACAGACACTGGCACTATGGGACCAGAGGTTGGAATTACCAAATCTTCCAAGAACCAAAGAGGACGGTGTTGGGACTAACTGAAATTGGATACAGAATTCTCCCCAAAAGCTTTAGTGGTAAGCTTTATCCTTCCTGAAACGGTTCTTTCCCTTTAAAAAAATATTTTGTTAAAAAACACTATGATATGAGGGCGGCAGACTATTTGGTTTTTTTCTAAGTAGATGCTCTTAAATTAATGCATATAAATAATTTGTATTTAATTTCCTCTCTTTCCTGTTGAGCAAAGCAGAGAATGCACAGATTCCTACATCTCGAGTCACTTGGTTAACACAGAGTCTCTTTGTATTTCATTTCTTAAGACAAATTGTGCCTCTCGTTCTGATTTGGCTGTGGGACTCAAGGGAAGAAAGGCTGTGTTTTCACTCGCACTGTCCTCAGTCTCCACACTGGCCAGTTCATAGTCTTCTGACCGTCTGGCATCAGTCAGAATCCGGATCTGTTCCTGCACAGTCTCTAGTAATATCTTCACTTCCTGTTGTTCTTCTAGAAGACAATCGCTGACTGGAATACTTGAATTGACAATGTCAGCAGAATAGGAGTTTTTGCACCATTTAATGCTTTTGACTTCAGAAATCCCTGGCATTTGCATGCAGGTTTCTTCTAGACCCACCGAAGGAATGATGGGCACAGAGTTGGCCCTTGGGGATGAATAGCCCACCAGGTCCTTTTGATCCAAGCTATTAAAATAAGGGTTTGTTTCTCTTGAAGGCAGTTGCATATTTATTGATGCGTTTTGTTGGGTTCTTAAGCCATTGGATGTATACCTGAAAAAGATAAACAGAGTCATATTCTGGTCCCCACAGTGCCGCTGAGAACCATACCATCCAAAAAGTACTTTCCACATGCACCATCTCACTGACTTCTCACAGCAACCCCATGAGACGGATACTATGCTCCCACGGACAGAGAAGTAAATTGAAATTCAGATCAGTGAAGTGACTTGCCCAAGGTCACACAGAAAAATAAGTGACAGACTGAGACTCAAACCCAGATCTTCTTACTTTAAGTCCAGGGGTCTTTCAACACACCACAGCTGTATAGGCAGATGGGATATAGTCTTCCTGACCTCTATCCTAGAATACAAAGTAAATGGGGATTGAGCACGTAAGTGTGGCCTTTCCATCGTGACAAACAGGACATCACCATGGCATTACTTCACTCATAACTCATCCACTCTCTCAGCCCTGGGTCTATCTGATTGACTGGTATGGTCACTATAATTGGGAGCCATCAAGAAACCCATTATTGACCATCAGGTATTTCGGTCCTCAAGGCTTCTGCTTTACACAGGGAAGGTAAATTGAACTGCTGTTGGGAGTTTGCCCTGTGGACAGTTTGCCCTAGTGCTTGCTGGCCCATTTCTGAGCCCGAGGACAAGAACAGGAATGCCTAATCCCTCTGCCTGCCCAGGGGGAATATGAAGTGTATTCCATATGACCCTCCCAACGCAGCAGTGCTCCTCGGTGTCCCTGCAGTGAAAGAGGGCACTGATGTTCAGAAATGGCTTGTCGCAAATACAAGTGTTTCATTCCAAGCAACTCAAGGATTCCATGATCTGAGCTTTGAACTGCTCTAGTCTGGTGAGTTTCCTCCTTTGATCTTTCCAGTGTCTGAGTGGATCAGGTGTATTAGACTTTACAGAAAAGTCTTGGGACTCTGTAGGGTACATTTTGTTCTACTTCTTAGTGAGTTATCTTTAAATAGTAAACATGAACATGTAAGCATAAGTCAAATATATTTCATTTCCATGTAGTAGATTTAATTGGCTTGGCTTACACTGTAACATAATAAAAATTGTTTTTTAGATATGTAAAGAATAGTTGCAATGAAATGTATTGCGTAGCTACAAAGAAGTCTTTGCTGTGAGGTCACAGTGGGAGCAGTTTCACCAGGATTGAGTAAAGAGAGGTAAACAGTAGTCATGTCTTTTCTCAGTGTATCCAGTATAGAGTTGGTCACCAATAGAACCTCATCTAATGAACATATTAATGAATGAATATATCTCCAGGGAAAGTACTCTTTTATAGCTCATTAAGTAATATCAGAAATAACAGCTAACATTTGCACAGCGACTTGAAAAAGCACTTTCTTCTCTAACTACCTCATAAAAACATTTTTAGTTTATTATTCTTATATGATAAATTAGTAGAGAATTCCAAGGGGCATTCAAATGACCTGTCCCAAGTTATACCTTTACATAAGCAACAGAATGAGGATTTAAACCCAAGCATCAAATTGTCACTATAAAATTCAGAACTGGATAATGAAGGGACATCCTAAGATAAACTAGATTATCACATCTTTTTGGGTGCTTAATTTTATACAGCCATTCATAAGAAAATTCCTTATGAAATCTTACCCCTGTGTCTTATATGCCAGAAAATATGTCTGATCCATAAGTCAATTCCACCAAAAAGAAAGAGCAAACTTCAGGCCCTCTTGTTTTGTTTTTTGGAACCATAATTCCAGAATATATGAATATATATAAAATATGACCTTCAGATATTTACATACAGAAAAGAGCCAGGAAATGTGACTAGAATAATACTGTATCTACATCAATGTCATCAGGGTAGATCTAAAGATAGAATGTAATAAGCTGTAATGTGATGGTGATACTAATAGATAAATTCTGTTTGGAGAATGTTGAATACCTTAGAGGATGTTTATAACTGATTGCTATAATGATTCAGCAATGTGGCATGGCCAAACAAAAGGCAATTAATGCCAAACTTCAAATGTCCACCTATTCAACCTGATACTGAATGAAGGACTTAAATGAGAGGGAGGAAATCAACTACTCTGTTTCATTTCCCAAATCAGCTACTGGACAAATAACTAGCAATAACTGAAATATAAACTCCTGCTACAGAGTAAAGATATCATTAAATAATAGCTGTCCTCCAAGGTTTATTTAATTTTGAATAAGACACCAACACCATTATGTGATTTAGACTCTCAGACAAACAGTGGTAAAATTCAGTGTAAATATAATCTTAGTGTATTAGTGTATTACAGTGTAATTCATACTACTGGGATACTTGGAGGATGGTGATGCTGTGAGGTTCAAATAAAACAGCTGGGCCATCCTCTTGCACCAGAGGCAAGGGTTACCCTCACTTCCTCCCTGGGGTTGCTGTGAGAGGTTCCAGCTCTGACATTTCAGCAAATGTTTAAGTAGAATCTAAATTTCCAGATGGGAATGTGTCGCAGAAGCTAGTCAGAGTTCTGTGTCCCTGCAACCTCAACAACTCTTTGACAGTTTGATAGTGATATCATTCACTAATCATTATATTATTTTTGACTGCCCTCTCTACCACCCTTCAAAGAAATCAGAGGCCACAAGCATGTGAGTCAAGAAAGGTTGCAATAATTAGTGTCTTTTTGATTTGTCGCAAGCCAGGAGTCAAGCCAAGGACTTAGTTTCTCCAGTTGATTCTTAAGACTCGATTTCTGAGATGTATAGTAGTGTATAGGTAGATAGTAGGTAGATAGAACTGACCATCCATGCAATTGGCTATTCCATTTTACATTGTCAGCCATTGGTGTGTTTTAGCACATCCATTTTCTGGGTTGTGTAGCTGATTTGGTCAGAAAGCTAATACAAAATCTCACTTTTCTCATGACCAATGCCACACTTAGCTGGCCATTTAAACTTTCCTATCATTGCGGTGTCCACCAATAACATCTTCAAAGAATATAAAAAGTCAGATACATCAGGTTGCTAGCTAGATGAGGTGGGAACTCACTATGTTTTGGTCATGACCAGTTTGAAGATGTTAACCTGACTTTTCTGAATCTGTTTCCTTTTATTAGCTTGTAATATATCAGTTAATTGGCCTGACACATACCAGTATAATGCTTTGTACATTATTACCAGGGCTGGCACTGCCCAGAGTTCCAGTCAGAGAAAGATATTCCCAATCTGCTATCTACCCCATTAAAAAGTCCTGCTGCACTAGGGAAGGTCATGTGTTCAAGCTGGGCATACTTTCCTACCCCGGAGAGAAGCCACATACATGAAGCCTAGTTAGCAGACAACAACCATACGCTTGGTAAACAGTAACAGATGGCTGGTGGGTCTTGCAAATTCATTCACTCCCATTTCAGGCTAAGGGTAGATTTGAAGAATGTTAGCTGTGAAATTCTATTACCAAACCCATTTCCAGTCCTAAGAGACAGTCAGTCCCCCAGGAGCAGAAAATAGCTGTTTTTAAGAACTGAAGATGAGATTACTCCCCAAGATTCATTGTTCTGAGGCAGAGTGACTTACAGAGTCAACATTTATCAACAATGGGTGCATATGACACAAAGAAAATGTATGTGGACAGCCAGCTACAGAGATAATTGCCAATCTAGTGTTGACTGAGCCAACACAAAATTACAACCATGCTGACCCAGGAGGGAAAAGACACGGCAGGGAATGAACCCTGTGACCCCTGGAAGGTCTGTGAATGTGTGATTCCAACCACAACTTGCCATAGCTTCTGAGTCTCCTTGCATCAGGAACATTTGAGGTGAGAGCCACTGTGGCCAAGATGAAAAATATTACAGTACACGATGGGTTTTCTAGACACACATTCTAATAGTCACCATAGGGAAGGAAAGTGTGTGCACATTTACATACTTCTGTTAATTACCTTTGATTACTGATAAAGTAGTTACAGAGTCAATATAGGTACAGGCTAAATGTAAACCCCTTGTCACAGGTAAGGCCAAGCAAAATACCAACTGCTTCTGCATCACACATTTTGGACAATTTAGTTGTCAAACCGAATTTGCAGTCACGCCCTAAGTCTGGAGGAATGGTCCTTTTGGAATAACTCCAAAATTACAAGGTATAGCCACAGGCTATTTATATCCTATCTCCTAAGATTCCTTCTTCTTAAAGAAACCTATGTCAAGCTTGATCAGTCAGGAAAACAGTCCATCTATTCCACATCAGGCAGAAAAGAGAACTGCAATGGATCTGAGCTGCACATCCTACCTTCTATGGTCTCAGGACTGAAACAAACGATGTGAAGTAGTTACATGGATGAAAATTGCATAGAAACCCAGTCCAGCTCATTCAGAAAGTCAACTGCTAGACACAAGTAGAGCCCAACTCTGGAAATATCTAGAGTAAATCTAGATTCTTGAAATTAATGATAGCATTGTGAGAATTAATACAGCAAAAACTGTTTCTGTGTATACCATGTGTCTGACCCAGGTTCTTAATACTTCCTTTTTGATATGGCCAATGATATTTGGGAGGTTTAAATCCAAATAAAGCTTGAGTCCAGATGACAACATTTTCTGAAATTGACACAAGTCATAAAGGACAGGTATTCAACTTTAATGATAACTTACTTATCCCATGTATGCTTGAATTGTTTATACCAAGAGCATAGTTGTGACTAGAACCCATTTTGCATTTCACTCACTATACCTTGAGTCCTATGGATGTTGGTGTTACCTAGAGGACATGATGCCTTTGTATTGTAGGCCATACAGCCATGGGGTCCAAAATCCCTGATACCTCTATAGCACAAATAATGAAAACATCTGAGTTCTGAGCATTTCTCTGTGACTTTCTTCTCTTAATATCTACCTAACCCCTACATTCAAGAATACTGGGTGGAAATAGATATCATATTTATGTTATAGGCTATATTTTAGAGTTTTGTTCATACTGCTGACCAGAAAGTTAAATATATTTTTCTATATTACTGATGAAAGGATAATTTAGTCATCCTAAGAAAACTTTTTTTCTTAAAAATAAAAAAAAACCAGTTATATACTAACCTAGTGTCAAACTTCTTTTTTTTTTTTCTTTTTTGACAGGGTTTCTCCCAAGTGCTGGGATTGAAGGTGTGTGCCTCCACTGCCCAGTACTAGTGTCAAATGTCAAACAGTCTCCCTTGTAAGTCCCTTGCTTTAAGACCTACCCTTGGCAAGGTATTGTATCCTGGTCTGGGATCCTTGACTCTTCCAGTTGCTGATATGCTGGTCCAACAATCCCACCCAGTCGACTTCGGGGTGAAGGTGGTGTCCTTCTGAAGGTACTCCTGTGCAGCATCCCACTCCTCTGTCCTGGGCTGCAGCAAGAAGAAATACTCCTGCTAAGTTGGGGAAACAAAACCAAATCAACAAAGCAAAGAGATTATAATAACCTCTAAGACACGACTCAAATGTCTCAGACATTGAATTTATACTGCACATCCTTAAAGTTCTATGCTATGAATGTCAAATATATACTCAGATAAAATTAGAAGTAGCTTAATTCACTTACACTTGGAGGTGCTGAGAACAAGAATTCCCTGTGTCTGGCTTTCTAGCTAAGACAGAAATGGGTTTAAGGGAGCCTCAGGATCCCAGTTCCCCTCCACCCTGATTTCCCAAGCTACAGAGGCTGTCTTCTAATTGGAATAAAAATGCACTTATTAGGCAGTGATGAGAACAAAACACAGAAAGCCCAGAGGGGATTTATGGCAGAATTTCCATTTCTTAGTGATAGGATAAACAGGCTTTACTTTAATTGACATTCTTTCTTTCAAATATGTGTTAAATTCTCAGTTTACCATCCCAGTTTTTATCAGTAGCCAGAAACTAGTTTTGCATTTGAGTTTGTTTTGAATATGCACCTGCTTAGATTTTCTTGGCTGTACAAATCCAAACCTCCCACATGACTGACCATTTGTAGAGGCCATCAAGGACAAAGGCATTCAGTGACTTAACAAAGTGAGCCCTTGTTCATAGACTATATTAAAAGAACTGGATTCTACAAAGATAGATTGGCAAGTTGAAGTTGATCAAAGAGTCCTTATTGATTCCTTTCCACATCCTACTGAGTGAGTTGCCTGTGTTCAAACCTATGTGTTCCATGAGATTGCACGTCATGTAGTCCAAACAGTTCTTCATGAGCATATACTGAGCTTAAAATCTCATGCTGCACCCACGTCATCTGAAAAAAAAAATTACTGCAACTGTATAGGCCAGGATGAAAAATATTCAAAACTCAGCAGATTACTCATGGGGGAAAGCCTCCCAAAGCAATTATACCCCTATCATTCTACCATTTGGGTTTTGTCTCTTTTTCCATCAATATTATCATTATTCGTATTTCATAACTATAAAACGTGTTTAGCCAAAAAACGGGGGATGGCTGGTGTTAGGGAATTACTGTGTGGCTCTGGCTGACATGAAACTTGCTGTGTAGACCGGGCTGGCCGTGAATTCACAGAGATCTGCCTGTCTGTGCTTCCTAAGTGCTGGGATTAAAGGCATGCACTGCCATACCTGGTAAATTTTGCATATATTTTACTGGGAGTTTGAGAAATTGATACTTGCGTGCTCACAGCCATCTTGGTGGTTCTGTTAAGGTGCCAGGTCAACATTAACTTCTCAATTTTGTGCAGACAGCAAATGATGTCAGTCACGATATTTTAGTTGTTAGCCATGTCATCTGGTATAGATTGAATTCCCCAAATGCTAACAACATGGTCATCACATTCAATATTAGACAACATCTTTAAGAAGCTCTTGAACAGTGACTCTCTTCCTCTCCCTCCACTCTGTCTATTCACATACGAATTAGGATCCAGGGTTTGGGGGCTTGCACCATAGTGAGCTGCATTTGGGTATAAATCTCAGATCTCTCTGCTGCTAGAAACATGATGCTAAGGAAGACAATTGTGCTAGAATCTTGGAGGGAAATAAGAGTCTCTTTAACTTGGACCAGTTGAGGAGATTATAAGAGGCATGGTCAGTGGTCATTACTTGGGAGGAAAAGAGATGAAGCTACACACTACATTAATGCACCTCAGGCCACTAACAATAGGAAACCATCATTATCAAGGATAGGGAGCACTTTCCAGAATAGAGGCAGTATTGGAAGGACCAAATCAGGTGGCAGGCTCTGTGACCCCAGAAGACCAGAGTGGGGCATGACAGAGGCAGCGAATGGAATGACTATGACCTCATTTCCCCAGGCCTTCCATTCCTCACCAGTACCTCTGATATATCAGAAGCCAGAGGACAGGAAGTCTGAAGGTCACCTGGTAGATAAGGCTTTTCAGAGAAAGTGATTTGAGTGTGAATGGAGGAGGGAACAGGCCAAAGCAAGGTATGTGTGTGGGCTCACATTAGAGATGAAAGAGTTCAAGTACACTAAGTGTCCTACATGAGGTCAACACATGTGAGGTACACAACATCATGTGTTCTATGCATTACTGTCCCATAACTGGCAATACAAAGGCTTATCTGTGTCACTGGATGCTCTGGTCTCCCGTCACTGTTGGCAACCTATATTGATGCTATTGTGAGCAAGTTAGATTGCCAAAATATAATACAATAAAATGATATGCCTCAACAGTTTTTTTAAACAGGTAGGTTTTTTACTAAACATTAGAAATAACGGTTTCAGATTAATAGCTTTGTTTCATAAATAAGGCATCCAAGGGAGTCATATTTTCAGTGCACAACAAGAAATTAATTATTCATAGCTTGCTGAACTGTCAAAACAAGGTCTACCAGTGTGAAGTAGTGACCCATCTTCAAAAGCAGTTGTAGACCTATTGATCAATCAGAGATTCAGGCCTTCTAACCCAGGGACATTCAGGAAATTATGGAGTGGTTGGAAGGATATATAAATCAGTATACAGGTTATCAATCATAAAGCTGTTTAGTCTATTGCATGTTTTAAAAAACAAAAGCTATGATGTATTAAACTATAATTTCAAGTTCTAAAAGCACTTCATAAATCAACCCTTCCCCATCTATCAGCATACATGCTATGTCAACAGATACTGCAATGTCATTGAACTAACAAAACAAAACAAAAAAAACAAAAGGAAGTGTCTTTAAAGACACTCATTTAATCTTGGAGTTCTAGAAACCACGATCAAAGCTGAGGATGGGAGACTGACAAAAACTAACTGGACACAGTGGTGCTGTAGTTCCAGCACGGCAGAAGCTATCATTTAAAAATAGTGAATTCAAAATATTTTTGCTATAATATGTTGCAGAGTGATATTATACTATTTTACTTGACAGGGTAGATAACTACTATAATACATTTCAGAATAAGCAGAGGATGATACTGTTTTGGAGAAACTATTTGCCTTTTAAAAGGCTATTGATGTTGGACTTCATTTCTCTAATTAAGGCAGCTTCTATGAGGTCAAGCAGAGTAAAAGGCTGTTTTAACAGGAATTATCTAAATGCAAGTGATGACATACTGCAGACTTGCCAATAATAACTGATGCAAACTATTTCAATCCTATGGTAAAGATACCAAAATTATTTTCTTTGTCAAATCCTAGGCACCCTAGAATCTGGCTACTAAAGAGGTATGAGAATAAACACCACCATCCGCTGCTGGGGTTTAGTGGGCTCAATGTTAGAGTAACTGAAAGTCTCATAGGAAATACAGCCAGGAAAATAGTCTTTCGAAGAGGAGAGCAGGAAGTCAGCTCCTCTGTTGTGCATTTCTATCTTGCTAATGTACAAAGCAAACATTATCATCTATTGCTAGAAACAATTGATGCAGCTTTAAAAAGTTTATTATATATATAATATACATACATACATATGGTTTGAAAATATTAAAAACTGCTTATTACTAAAGAAAAGAATGTTCAGTCTTTGGACAACTTTTACAGATTAAAGATATTCATTTTAGTACACACAAACATGATGTATACTCTAGTATTAGTTCCAAATCCACCCTTTGGTTTGGACTATATATCATTGATTTTTAAAAATAAATTCCTCATGTGTAACCCACAACCATGTGAATGAAAAGATGCTGGAGAGCATGCCCAGCTTGAGAATTTCCTGTGATGCATCAATTGACTTTGTAGCTGGTCTTCACCTCCAAATGAATAGTTTCTATGATCAGCTTACATGCACACACACAAAAAAGATGGCACTCCTCACATAAGAGGATATCTTTCAGGCCCAGAGAAGGTACTTTCCAGAATTTGTCTCTGAAAACTTCTCTTTTGTGAGGAACATTTGGAACACTTGGTGCATGTCACATCAGCTGCCTAGAGGAGAATTAGACATTAGCTTTGCAACCAGTGGCAAGGAAGACTAGGGAAAAAATCAAACTTTTAATAGTTTTTCAGAGTGCAATTGCTTATTCACTGGTCTGTGCCTGCAGCTCTGATGAAAGCTAGTAGTTCCTTTATGCTTTTGTAGAGAGAGTGATGCTGCTGAGAAAAATTGAAGAATTTGCTTCCTGGCTATTGGCTGCCTGAACATCACCTCCACAGATAGCCTGTTATATGGAAGCAAGAGCAATCACCACTATGGGACTTGTGGATCCTGTGGCCATCCTCTGGCGTGTGTCAACTTCTACTGTGAACTCACCCACTCCCACCATGACTAGCTAACAGTACCTGTGGTGCTTGACAAGCTGGCTTCCTCTGTCAGGAGAAGGGACCTCAGGGAACGACTGGGGACCTGCAAAACTCGACTCCATTATTTTCTCCAGTGCAGTCACAGGATGTCTGTCCGCCTTTGAATACTGTAGGAAATCACATGCAGAGTTGTGAGCCATGGGTACATTATGAGAGGTGTGCTAGCAACACAAGAACTAGGCATTGAGAAGTCCCAGAATGACAGAAACACTATGCATTTCCTCCCTCCCTCCCTCCTTCCCTCCCTCCCTCCCTCCCTCCCTCTCTCTCTCTCTCTCTCTCTCTCTCTCTCTCATATAAGAAAGTAAACAGATATCAAGAAAGGAGAACACTTATATTTTAACCAAAGAGCCCATTTCTAACCAATTGGTAGAAGATTATTAGAGTCTTATTTATATTTACATAAATTCCAGGAATAACTTGGGAACAAAGAACTAGGGAAACATTATGACAACAAGGAAGGGGGAAGAAAGAGTCCAAAGGTAACATTTGGGAGAGTACAGAAATTCCTTCCATAAATCTCAGTTTTAGATCACATGTAAAACTTAAGAGCATCTAATTTCAATTTGGCTTAAGGTTAGAGGTAAGAAGATGGGAAAAGATTAAGGAAAAAAAAGTATGATTTAATTTTCTTTATTTTGGTGCTGAGACTCGGGACCTTGCACATGCTTTATTATGGCATTATAGCCCTCAGTCCTAGAACATGACAAAAAATAAAACTGCCTCTCTGGTTGCTGAAAGTAAAGAGTTATGAATGCGATTAATTTTTGGCACTGGTGGATACACATCACAATGACTAGGATATAAGAAATGTAAAGAAAGGGAAATTAAAGAAAGCATTATTTATGCAACAGAAACTATTGAAGCTGGTATATAACAAGACAGAATGGTACACTGGAGGGGAAAATTGCTGTGACGAATGTAAAAACCTCAATGAATAGGAGAACTGAGTTGCTAGATTTAAGCATTAAAAGGCAAATTCACACACCAACAATACATTCAGCCATCCGACTTCTGAAGGAGCTTGTTTACAACAGCAGAGGAAAGATCATGAGACAGTGGTGATGCCTGCCTGTAATCGCAGTACTTGATAAAATGAGACATGGGCCTGATGAGTTTGAGGCCAGCCTGAGTAGCATAGTAAGACACAGTGTCAAAAACAAAACAAACAATAAAATAAAAATCATGCTAGATGGATAAAGACATTACTTGGAAATTATGGGGATAAAAATGTATAAAAGCAATATCAAGCAAAATACAATTTTGTATTTCTACACAAAATTACTTTTAAAGATTGATATTTCGTATGAAGAAAAACAACAAGTAATAAATATTTATAAAATTTCTCTACTTTAAAACAGCTTCAAAAGTACACAATACAGCTAATAGCACAGCATAAAACCCTGGAGGAATTTGGGCATGTTGACAGCTTTTATTACATGATAAACAAATACATGTAGCACTGTCTGAAGAAAGAGCATGGGATTCAGGAAGACATAGTGAGGCTGCTGTTATTCAAGAAAATAGAGTAAATTTGCCATCTAGTTTTGTTTTTTTAAAGCCTAATTAAATAACTATATGTAAATAAAATCACAAATATATTAGAGAAATGGACTGGGTTAATTTTTAAAAGGTTTTCTTAATAACAAAAAATAACATAGATTTTGTTAACTTAATTATAATAGACTATTACAGAAGAGCATACTAAAGAGATTCTGTAAGTTAAAAGAATCTGTGTAGCAATGAGCATAATTATGGGTAATGATAAAATTATAAAATCAATGTCCCTTTCAGATTTGGATGAATGAACTTTTTGAATGAGAAAGTAGTTTATATGACTGATAATAATTTTCTCATAGCCTTAAGGGACAGAGATGCTTTTTACTAGGATGCAACATCTAGAAATTAAAGCAGGAAAATGTTTTTATTTAATAACCACAGCCAATTACCCTAAGTGGAAAAAAAAGAATTTTTAATAAACAAATGTCTAAGTATAAACCTGGGGAAAAATATTTGCTATCCCCACCTAGAAATGTGTAATATTGAAAAAAACTACCCAGAACCCAAATGGAAAAATATGGAAGGTAGAATGTCCTTGTTTCCTCAATTGCAATCAATTTGTAATAGATTTAGAATGAAAATCAGAGGGACATCTTGAAGCAAAGATCAGCCAACTGTTCCTGAAGAATCTTCATTTTCTAAAGAAATCATTGTAAGTCAGCAACTCATTCATTTTGTAAAAGCAGTGTATTTCCAAGAGAGAATTTGAGCCATTAGTTCAGTCTGTTTGAATCCTAAAATGGGAGCTCTGTCCAAAGTGCTGAATGAAATCCACTTATTAGCTGGTTTTGCTTATGGCTAGTATTTATAATGCATGCTTATTCAGGATATTGTTATATTACACTTGTTTAAAATTCATGACACTTGGTCCAGTAAGTACAAATTTCTTTTCATAATGTTATTTTTAGAATGATTTTCTCTCTTCGTATTTTATTTTAATAACCGAATTTAGCCCGCAATGCCTGCACTCTTCTGGTGAGATGGGAGATGGAGTCAGGAGCATCTCTGCAAACATATGGGCTGTCTTGACTAGTGCACACAGCAATAAACAACAAAAGAGAGACTCTGTCTCAAAACAAGGTGAAAGGCAAGGAACAATACCTAAAATTGTCCTCCAGCCTCCATACATATCCCATAGCATGCATACACATACAAGTACACACTTCATACAACACACACAAATTTAAAACAAGATGATCTATTTGGTCCTTGTGTGGTGGCACATGTGTTTAATCCCAGCAATTAGGAGATGTAGGCAGGAGGATCTCTGAGTTTGAAGCCAGCATGGCCTACACATTGAGTGACCCAGTCCAAAAAGAAATGACCTATTTAATTGTACACCTATTCTTCAACCTGTTATGCCCATTCTATTTAGTAAAATCTATATGTTCTACTGAAAAACAAGAAGAAAATAACAGGATAGTTTGCAGGGAAAATGTAAGCAACAAAACTCATGTCAGATGTTAGGATGATTTTAAAAATAGAAAGCAGTAGATTTGTTGGAAGAGGAAGACAATATATAAAGATGGATTGTATACTGGCTAGGGAACCTCAGTTAAGAAAATGACTCCAAAAGATTGGCTTCTTGAGAAAGCCTGTGATACATTTTCTTGACTGATGGTGTATGTGAGAGGGCATGATTCACTATGGACACTGTCTTTGGTTTGCTGGTCCTGAGCTGTGTAAGAAAGCAGGCTCAGATAGTCATGAGCAACAAGCCAGTAAGCTGTGTTCCTCCATGGCTTCTTCAGCAGTCCCTGCCTGCAGGTTCCTGCCTGTTTGAGCTCCTGCCCTCACTATATTTTAAAATGAACTGTGATATGGACATATAAGGGAAATAAACTCTTTATTCCACAAGCTGCTTTTGGTCATCGTGTTTTATTGCAGCAAAGAAACTCTAACTAAGACATTAGTAATTAATATTTGAATAAAAGAATATGTACTCATCTAGCCCTAACTTTTAAAGAAAGGAGGTTTCTTAGTCACTGTTCTATTACTGTGAAGGGACACCATGACCAAGGAAATTTATGAAAGAAAGCATTTAGTTGGGTTCTTGCCTAAACTTTTACAAGGTTAGTTTATTATCTTCATGGCAGGAAGCATGGTAGCATGCATGCAGATGTTTGAACAGTAGACTGGAACAGCATGCCTGTTCCATAGGCAGAGAAAGAGAGAACCTGGGACTGGAACGGACTTTTGAAATCTCAAAGCTCATCCCCAGTGGCATGCTTCCTCCAAAAAGATCATACCTACTCCAACAAGGCCATACCTTCAAATCCTTCTGATCCTTTCAAATAGTTCAACTCCCTGGTTAGTAAGCACTCAAATATATGAGCCAATGGTGGCCTTTCTTACTCAAACCAACACAAGGCAGTACTTCACAACCACTATATCACCTTGTGATTCATTATTATTCAAGATATTTTGAGATTGTGAAAAGATACATGTATGTTAATTTATATCTCTATCATAAGTTATCAACAAAAATAAGAGACTATTCTCACTGCACCAGTGAGCATGGGAAAAAATATGAAGACGTTCTCTAGTAATTCAGTATTTCCAAATTTCATAACTTAGTGAAAGTAATCAACTTCTTTAAAGATAAAAATTATCAAATTGTACAGAGGAAAATAGTGTAATAATAAAAGTCTTAGACTTGCTAAGGAAATGGAGTTATATTAATAGCATTAATAACATTTAAGTGTCTGGAGGTCTTTTGAAGCAATGCTGACTCTGAGAAGAGGAGCACATCTTACAAGTATGTCACAGTGCACCTCTGGGAGATGGAGCAGGAATACAGCCTTAAGCAACTCTGGAAACAAGGGGGTCCTAAACATTAAAGTGAGAACTGCACATAAGCGCTATTTAGATGTCAAACATATGAAACAGGTGCAATATGAACTTCTGATCTTACTGATATTTGTCCTGTGGAAGAAAAATATGTACATGGATGGGGGCAGTGAAGCCAAGTTTTTTCCTAGTGCATTGGGTGGGGATTGTACAAAAGGTAGTGACTGATTGGTATTAAGAGAGACATCAATATGAGGTAATATTTAGCCAAATTTAGGTACAGATGGTTACATTAAAAAATTATAGTCGTGTGTTTGTCTGTGGTCTGTTTGCCAAGAGGGCCTATAAGCAAAACCATTTCATTGCCAAGAAATACTTGTAGCTAGCATATCTTGTTTTGAACAGCGTTCTGTAATTAAAGGTATGTTATTAGTGGGAAAAAGCCTGATTCTATGATTAGGCCAGATTATCTACAGAATAAGCCTGAAATACCCTGCAGTATTCAACACAAACACTTCAAAAGCTGATCAGTTGACAGTATCCAAATGACATAGGCAACTGAACTACTGGACAAAGCCAAAACAGCCTAAAATCATATTGAAATGGGCATGTAAAACCTGTATTTGGTAAAAACACACAAACAAAAATCTCACCTTGTCATTTGAGCTTATCAGGTAAATAAAGTCAAAAGAAAAAAATCCTGTCCTCTCTCTTCACTCTGTTCCTGTCTCCATTATTTTGGGGGTACCTGCTTATC